TAGAGGCGACAGTCTGTTTCATGCTATTGCAATCGTCAAGCCACATAAGCTGTTATTTTTCTCGGCTATTTATATATATACGGGTTAGTGGTGCATTGTGGGTATTCTATTATGGCGGTTATTTTTATCGGAAGTCGCTTTTTTTATTTATTTGGGTCATATTATATTGCTCGTTTTTATTTTTTTGTTTCTTATGTGTTGACTTCTATGTTCACTTTTATATTTACACACGCTCTATCTCTGATATTGAGCACTTTATCCCATAAATATAGCACACCTTAAGACTATATTTCTTTATATATATATATATATATATATATATATATATGTGTGTGTGTGTGTGTGTGTGTGTGTGTGTGTGTGTGTGTGTGTGTGTGTGTGTGTGTGTGTGTATGCAAAATAAATAAATTAGTTTTTCGTATATAATGGAGTGGGAAGACGTAATTTTAAATGCATACACACACTGCTATAAATATTCATTAATGACTGAAATTAATAATGCGTATACTAAAATATTTAATTTATTTACATAGATATAAATCAGTAGCATGTAGAAGGTGGGGCAGAGGGTGTGACGGTCCCGGGCATTCATATCGGGAGGGCATCGAATCAAAGAATTAAACAAAAATTTAGTTTATGTTTAATTTGAATAAAGTGTTTATTTCACGTTTCATCTGTTTTTACATATTTAAAATGTTTTCCTTTCTCACATTTCTCAGTACGAGGCCCTATAGACCCTCCACTTCCTACTTGAGTCTTGGGGGCATACAATTGACCCCGGGCATCCCCAAACATCACCAAATATCTGCACGACACTGCTGTAAAAACATACAATATGTCGGAATATACGCTGATATCATCCTGACCTTAACCGACCAAAATGTTGGGTACCGATTCAACTCAGTTGGGCTCGTTTGATGTTTCAGCCATGACATGTCGCCGCCCTGCTTGGCTGGGTGTACAAGTTGTTGGGCCGGTCCTAACGCCGTTATAGGTTTTGAATAGGGTTATCTTATACTGCTTGCCAACTGAGGCTAGAGGACTTTTTAACTCATAACTGGAGAGGAAGAGATGAATTCATATCTTACTCAAATATATTGGAACGCAGCACGCAGATCACACAAGCCGATGGGCGACGCCTATATCTTATTTTCCGCTTCGATAACCGTGACGATAAGCGTTCAAATAAAATGGTACAGTTCGATCTCTTTAATCCGTGGTCTGGCAACTCACATGGTCCGGCACTTTTTTTTTAAAGCCAGCCGCCATTAGTTCGTTGGGCGGCTACGACTGCAGCGCCACACATTGTTTTCAACTTTCCGCTGCAGCCGATAACAGCAGAGTGTTTTGGTGAGTGTGTGTGTACGTATGTGCGGGCGTTTAATATATAATAATAATAATAATAATAATAATAATACATAGATCTATACATTATTCTACCATTTTGACAGGCACTATGCTAGAATGGATTATAACAGACGCTAGAAAATGTATGACTATTTAATAAGATTATTGAAAACTGTTCAACGCATATTTCTGAATTGGGTTGGAGAAATTAATTAAATCATATTAATATATAACGATGTACCTCCTAAGAAAAGCGATACCTAAAGTTTAGATGTATTTTTAAAAATGAAAAATCTTTCTTGAAGCTTTTAATTTCAAGCTAATAGATTAAATTTAGTACTTTGCTAGTATTTCAAACTGAATTTAAATTGACTGAAATGATTTTTTTATCATCAGTAAAAACGCTAAAATCGTTTATATTCACAAGTCTGTCAACACAACGTAATTCTCTATATTAAAAATCTTTCAAAATTAAAATATACATTTCTGAAACTTTATTTGAAGAAGATTAGCTAATCTGATTTGAAACAAATATTACTTACTTTTAGTTTAAAATATCGCAGAAAAGCATTTTTACCACGGAGGTGGGTGTGTTTACGTGGTGTTGACAACATTTATCTTTGGAAATTTTTTCTACGTTGGACATAACTGTACTAATTACCTGACGAATATAATGGGAACGCGTTTTTTTTTTATATATTTTTAAATTACCAAGTAATTTTTAAAATTTTGGAAAATATTCTAAGTAATCTAATATTTTATTGAATTTTAGGTACTTTGGCTTTATAATCTTAGTTATGAAAACGCTTGTTGAGGAAATTTTAGAAAATTGTCAATACATTTTAACTTTACTATAGTTACTGCTCTTCTTTTGTGATAATGTCGCGTTTGAACATCCGTATTTACAAAAATCGACATGTTTATACACGCACAAAATAAATTCAAAATTCTTTTTAAAATATTGGGGGTCGTTGAATTGTAGTGATTTTTCCATTTCTAATAAACAAATACAGTCTTAATTTTAAAACAATATCACTTGACCTATACAAATTAATACAGAATTTAAAAAAAAAAAAATTTTATAAATTATTCTAATTAAAATAAAAAATGAAAATAATTCGTGTAAAAATTCATTATTCATCGAAAGAATTTTTTTCTTAGGACAATAGTGTTCATAATATATCGTATTCATAAAAGCAATTAAAAGCTTATTTAATTAGATAATATCTTAGTTTATTGAATTTTTTATTTTTCGATTCAGAGCAAATTTTCTGTAACTGGTGGTCCTGTTTGCCGAACCCCCAAGAACCCCCCACCCCAAAAAAACTGATGATTTTAAATTCTCCGAGGACTTGTTCTTATAACTAATGAAAATGTTAAGCGCTACAAAAAGAATTTCTTGAAATGGTAACAGATGTCATAAAAATATTTTTGCAAACATTTTCTGAAACTGAAACATTTAAAGGATAATTTAATTTATTTGTGAATAAGTCCTGAAAGTTTAAGTAAGAATCAGACAATTATCTGATTTTTGTAAGAATTTACAAATCAGTTTGTTTTACACCGCAAAAACGACACTGAAATTTCACATACAAATTTATACAACGTTGACACCGGAGAAACAAGAATTTTCCTCAAAATTTCGAGGGTTCTAAGAAGGATTTAAAAAAAATAATGTCTACATAAAAAAACCCTTTCCTCTTAATAACATTTTGATTATAAAAATGTTTTTTTATTAAGTTTTGGCCATTTTTATTATGTATGCTAATTTTTCAGTTAATATTTGGAGGTACCTACATATAAGTTGTGATGTTGGGGCACCTCGAGGCGGTGTAATGGTTAGTGTTGTGGTAGGATCCACCTAATTTGCATAGTGGAGTACCGACCATATAAATATGGTTGGTACCGGGAAGAGAGGGGGGAATCAAGAGATTCACTCTCAGTCGAACTCTCTGCATTTTGCAGTGAGGGACCTGGACGAGGCTTTGCCGAGAGGCAGGCTTTCGTCCGGGGTGGTAGACAGGCCTTGAACCCGTCTAGGCGAGTTCAGAAAGGCCATATTTTTGGCCGAGTCTACGGGCTCGGAGATACCCACTTTAAACCGGCCTTGTGCCACATTTTATCCTTGTGGGTGGATAGATCAAGAGATTCAACCAGAGACTCTGCCCGACTGCGACTCAGTCAACACATTCTCCAGGAACGGTCTTACCAGGAATATACAAAAGACTATATGTAAATATTGTGTACACTTTCTTGTTTCAATACATTTTGTTCTAAGTACATTTTGTGTTGCATTATTATTCCATGCATTTCAAGTTGTCCAATTAATCAATAGTACCAGAACTTAAATACAAAAATCCAACAAGTCCTGTATCCGGCCGTCCGGTCTAATATATCTGGCCGGCCGGTCTAATATATCCGGCCGGCCGGTCTAATGTATCCGACCGGACGGTCTAATATATCTGGCCGGCCGGTCTAATATATCCGACCAGCCGGTCTAATATATCCGACCGGACGGTCTAATATATCTGGCCGGCCGGTCTATTTCTGTTACGCATTCTATTCCTGAGAATTCGGATGATGAATTTCGTCATGTGGCTCATTCGGGTGATTGTCCAATGGAGCTCGCAGTCATTTGCATCTGACTTTATTAGGCAGCGTTATGAAAATGGAGGCAATAGAAATGTCGGTCTACAGAAGGATGCTGAGAATATCCCATGAACTGAACCTGTGAGTAACAAGGACGTTTTAAAAAATGGAAAGAAAACCTACACGTATACTTAGAATCAGAAATAGACAATTGCAAATTCTAGGGCACGTAATGATTGGCTATTTTGGATTGCAAGAATAATTCATTTTTTTTTTACAAGTGACTATTGTATTAACAACATTTTGAGAATAACACTGATTTTTCTAGATACAAGTTCTATTATTTAACCCATAGCTGCGGAGAGATTGATTCATACTTTCCATAATGGTATTTGCGCGTAAATAAATGTAACGAGCTTGACTGGAATTCGAACTCGGCACTTTGATTTCTTATTCCGAGCCGCTATTCATTGCACTGCCTGCACATCCGGTACATAATGATGAAAGAAGGCTTGGAGAAATTGACAATCACAAGGCAAGACGGACAAAGGGAAGAAGCGGATAACCAACCTAACGAGCTTGTGTAAATGATTGTTAGAGCAGAGATTAGCAGAGATAGCAAAATGACAGAGCTTATTAAGTATAGAAAGTTGAGGAGAGCCATGATCGCTTACGTCCTGGAGGGACACTGTACATAGAAGAATAGGGAATGTATTTTTTTTTCATTTAATATGATCATCTGCTTGAGTAGACTGAAAATAGGGTAAATGGTGGTGGTGACGGAGGAATTGCTGGTTGGTAGGCGTTATTACTGTCAGAGTGCCGAAATTCGGTTACAGACTCGGAGGAATTATTTTGTGGCCCGTAGGTGAGTGACGGTAACGCCAAGTGACGTTGCTAAGGCTGGATTCTATATATTCAAAGTTGTAAGCGTCGCTTAGATGCTGGACGGCTAGACTGACTGTCTAGCTGGTTGGCTACGACTGCTGGGCTAAGGGGGAGTGGTTGGCAATTTGTGTCTCGCTTCATAAGGTGGTTGGTTATTTAAGTCATTTGAAGTAGACAGTTTGAGAGCCATGTGGATGAAAGTCATCTTGAAAGTAACTGATAATGAAGCTGTAAGAAGACAAGTCAGACCTTCGGCCTGTGGACAGAACAACAACAACAAAATCTCATAAAGAAAATAGCATTTTAAATAAAATATGAAATAAAAGTCGAATTCATAACAATTAAATCAAATACTAAATCAAGAAATCAAATATAGAGAAGTCGTTTCTAATTTCTGTCTAAGATTCTGGGACGAGGAGTTATTAAAAACGAGTGGTCATTATTGTTAATAAGGCCTCATTATTTTCTAATGACGTCATGTTTATCATTTCAGCCTTTATACCCTCCTGCCTTCAGGTTAATCTTCTGGGTATTTCGAAATGAAATCCTTTATTTAATCTACAGGAGAGACTGTTCTCGATCTTGTTCTTATTTAGTACTGCTCAGTTATTGCTCGCAATTTTTCAATCGAGTCAGTATTTATCGGTCCAGAGATTGAATTCATAATTTCATTATAAAAAATGCCTCAAACTGAATAAAAACAAAATTTTATCGTCAAAATCTTTATGTTATTATCAAATAATGGTCGAATTTTAATTAAACTTTCAGGACTTATTCACAAACGAATGAAATTATTTTAGAAATGTTTCGTTTATAGAAAATCTGGGTAAAAATATTTTTTACACCACTTATTTTGTTTTATGAAATTTAGAGATTAATGTTTATATTAGTTATAAGGACAAGTCTTTGGAGAATTTAAATCAAGAAATTTTTTTTTTCAAATAGAACTCCCAGGAACAGAAGCAGAATATATATATATATATATATATATATATATATATATATATATATATATATATTATATTATATATATATATATATATATATATATATATTCTATTACATATATATATATATATATTCTATTATATATATATATATATATATATATTCTGTTATATATATATATTCTGTTATATATATATATATATATATATATATTCTGTTATATATATATATATATATATATATTCTGTTTTATATATATATATATATATATATATATATATTCTGTTTTATATATATATATATATATATATATATATATATTCTGTTATATATATATATATATATATATATTGTTTTATATATATATATATATATATATATATATATATATATTCTCTTTTTATATATATATATATATATATATATATATATATAAATAAACGATACCAAAATATTGCATTTGCGCGATTTAAAGTATCATGTGAACTGCTAATTTGCTATACGGCTGTCTTACAGTTTTCAGGCGGTTCAAAGGACAAGATACTCAATGCTATATTAAAAGGATATATATATATATATATATATTTCCAGTATCTTGTCCCTTGAACCACCTGAAGACTGTGAGACAGCCGTATAGCAAACTAGAGGTTCACATAAAACTTTAAGACAGGGAAAGGTTGTAATATTCGTGTACGAGTATCTATATTTCATATATTGTCTCTGTTTTTATATATATTTTATATTTGACATCGAGCATTGTTCTTCTAGTGGCCATATTTGTTTTATTATACAGTATGCTACTGCCCGCAACAAATGTAAGAAAGTCCTGGAAGGAGCTAAGTCCTTGTTTGCTGAAGGAATGAAGCATCACATAGCCTCTAAAAAGTTTGGCTCTCGTGATTACTGGCATCTCTGTTATAGGGTACTAAATAAGTCCAAGGTCTCTATCACCTTCTCTTCAATCGATTTGAGGTGTTATCATCCTATGCTGATAAACCTGAATGCTTTGCACGTAAGTTCTCCTCGAACTCTTGACTCATTTGGAGTATTCCTGCCTAAGTTCCAACTTTGATCAGAGTCTCTGTCGAGTGATATGCATATAACTCCTTCCATAGTTTCTGCTATCATCTCTAACCTTGATCCCCACAAAGCATCGAAGGACCCGCTGATATCCATTTAATAGTAACTAGCAGTAGAGCCCAGCGTTGCCCGGGGATGTAACAGTAAGAGATAGATCAAGTATCGACCATCATAAAAACTGAAAAATAAAATTGACAAAGATTATTGTTTAAGGTTGATGGACATAAACGTCTTAATTATTTTTTTTTTTTTTTTTTTTACGAATTGGTCAAACCCAAACTCAAACAAAAACATTGTTTTCAATCGTTATGAGTCTACCGATTGAATAGAATTTTATTATAAACAATTGTCTTGTAAATGGAATTTTTAAAGCATTCTGAATGTAAAAATAAAGATAAAAGTGTGCAAGACAATAAGAAACACTACCTGCCAAAAAAACAGTGAAGTTTTGTTGAAATCAGTTGAAAAATGTAGGAAATCCGATCCCATATATAAACGAACACATACACACACAAACACACACACACACACACACACAAACAAACAAACAACCTGGGTTTTATAATAAGTATAACTCGATATTAATAAGTATAACTTGATATGAGGTATCCCCCTTTCATTAATGCCTCTTAATCGTGCTTTCAAATTGATTTCGTGCAAAAACAATTGTGTTTTTCCAATTTTTGGCGATGTCAGAACCACCGCCAGGTAATTTTACGTAGTCCTGTGAAGTTTTGTTGAAATCGGTTGAAAAATGTAGGAAATCCGATCCAATATATAAACGTACAGACACACACACACACACACACACACACACACACACACACACACACACACACACACACACACAATCTGCAATTTTTTATAATAAGTAAGATTAAGAAGTGTGCTCCCGAAACTAGCTCATATTCCTCATCGACTGTTGTTTCAGTTTTTAAGAACCCTGGTGAACCGTCCGACCCATCCCACTATCGTCCTCTTACTTATTTTTGGGAAGCTCCTAGAGGCCCTAATCAATGCTGAATTGGTTCATCATCTCTCATAGCAGGGCCTTTTCTCAGACAAGCAATACGACTTTCGTTTTTCCAGGTCAACTGCTGATGCATTAACGATAATTACGGAAAGAGTCTATCGTGCGCTAGATAAAAACGGTGAAGCCCGGGCTGTAGCATTGGAGATCTCGAAAGCCTTTGACAGGGTTTGGCATACAGGACTTCTTCACAAGCTGAAAAGTTACGGTATCTCCGGACACGTTTTTGAGCTGATCCCGTCGATTCTATCAAATCGTGAAATGAAAGTTATCCTGAACGACCATTAATCTACATTCTTTCGAACTGACGCGGGTGTACCTTAGCGCTTCATCTTTGGTCCTACGCTGTTTGTAATCTTTACTAACAACCTTCCCGATGACATCAGCTCTCAACTTGACATCTACGCTAACGACACTACCATTTACTCCTGCCTCGATAGTAAGGCTGATCAGTCCGGCAATGTCAAAATGGCAGCTGGTGTACAAAACGACTTCAAGACCGTCGTTAACTGGGGCAAAAGATGGCTTGTCAATTTTAACTCCTCCAAAACTAAACTTCCCTCCATTAATCAGATCACTCTCTGCCTTCCATCAACATGATTGATGCTATCCTCTAAGAAACTGACTGAGAACGTTCTACCTTCTCGCGCTAACGTTCTCAGCTGACATGAAGTGGAAAGACTATATTGAATCCATTGCTAGGTCAGCTGCTAAGAAAGTCAGTTCGCTGTACCGGGTGAGACAATTTTTTTCTCCTCGGAATCTATCTTGCGTAGCTATAAGTCTACCATTCACCTATGATTAGAATATTGCTGTCATATATGGTCTAGTGTCTCTGCTGTTTACCTGGAGCTTTTTGATAAGATCCAAAGAAGAATCAGCAACATTATAGATCCTGATCTGGCGATTCGGCTTTAGTCACTTGTCCGCTGCCGTAAGGTTGCCTCGCTGTGCCGTTTTTTTTTTTTTTTTTTTTTTTAAATACGTCCATAGTGATTGTTCGTAGACTGTATGAATTTAAGCGCAATACTCGAAGGACGGTGAGATCTCATCAATTTACAGTTGAGATAGCTAGATGTAGTTGTAACTTCTGTGCTAACAGTTTCTTTTCTCGCACCTCTCGTCTGTGGAACTCCCTTCCGCTCCTATGCTTTCCAGTCGACTTTAATCTGCAAAAGTTTAAATGCAATGTCAATCGCTATCTACTCTCCTCCTGATTACTCTTTTCTCTTCCTGATCATTAATAATGTTTCTGTTCCTAATTCCTCCACACCCTGCAACCACTTGCTTGTGGGTAGCTGTACTGCCTTGATTAAGGTGATACCGATTAAATGTAGGAAAATCATTGATGAGGTGCGAATAACTTTTCATGCAGCGCGTTACGTCTTATTCCGACTTCATTGGACGAAAGGGATATTTATGTCGATTTGATGATGCAAGTACACCAATATTGTTCTTGTATGTAGAAATTAATATAACGTTTACCTATATATATATATATATATATATATATATATATATATATATATATATATATATATATATAGGATAGCGATATATAATATCAAGAACAGCTTTGGAGGAAAGATGTACGAGAAAGTGGAAAAAAGTTTTCGTGTGACATGTTTCGTCTCTCCGGACTTTATCGGACACCTTTCACGAAAAATTTTACCACTTTGCAATACAATTTATATATATATATATATATATATATATATATATATATATATATATATATATATATATATATATAAAAACAGAGAACAGTTTTTTAATCAAAACGTCTGATACTAAAGTAACGTCTCGATTAAAAACAGAAATTTTAAAGTGCCTTTCACCGGACATTTCCCCAGAAGAACAATTCGCGGAATTAAGAAAAACTACTGAAAGGAAACGAACCTCGTTGCAATTGTCCTATTCCTTACTTCTTCTCGCTAAAGTCTCATCATTCCCTTTCACTCCCAGTAAGCCCTGCGTCCTCGTGGCATTATCGCCTTGTTTGGGGTGAAATGATTATATATATGTATTTTATATATATATATATATATATATATATATATATATATATATATATATATATATATATGTGTGTGTGTGTGTGTATTTATTTTATACTCTTGTGGAACTGGTCATTTCACCCCCTGTTCAATTTTAATTGTGTGTAATTAAAATTCCTCTTTTAATCGCGTTCCACCTTT